ACATAAATAAATATATATAAACATATATATATATATTTTTTTTTTTTTTTTTTTTTGTCCATATTTTATTCACATAGTTGAAGTACACTATGTTGCACACTTTACCAGGAAAAAGAAATACTATTATTTTTTCGCTTTTGAAAATGATGCTTATTTGTTTTTTTTTTCTTCTCGTTTCACTTGTGATTTTCGTTCCACTTGTGGTTTTCATTTTACTTGTGGTTTTCATTCCACTTTGTAGTGATTTTGTTTCACATGATTTTGGATAGTACAATTAATTTGATGCACATGGTGTGCATATGTTTTTTTTTTAGTTCGTTTCAAACACAAGTCATTAAATGAGAATTTTTGGTATAATGAATTTTTTTTTTATGAATTTTTTTATTTTTTTTTATTTTTTTTTTATTTTTTTTTTTTTTTTATTGTTTGTAGATTGTTTTAATCTGGATTACAACTTGTATTTTGCACAGAATGCAATCATATCTTGTATTTTTACAACCTCATACTTGTATACTTGACAAGATTTTGTTTAATCGAAGATTTTTAAAAAATTTTTTTACAACCTTCATTAATTTTTACTTTTCCATAACTTTTTTTTTAACATTCACATGATCATAAGGGCAATGCCTACAATTATTTCCACAGCAATAGCCTCTTTGTTTATGAAATAGTTCAGTCATTACTATGTATGAAGTTTCTGGATCTGTATAGGTGTTTTGATTATTCTAATAAAACTCGGTGTTCAAATGAGAATTATACATAAATTTACAATATAAAAATATTATCAAAAATCTATCCATTACCTGAACAGCAATTCTATGTACTTCAGCCCATGGTGGCTTTGCTTCTGATCGTGTTTCACCATTCTCTTCGTCTTTATTTTCCATCTCATTCATCTTTTTTGAAATCAATGATTCTCCTGATTTATCGATGGTTGACATTCTTGTAAATTTTAACGAATAAGTAGTTAGTTTAACACGAGTGAATGCGATACAAAAATGCCGGCGTAAGCTATAAATTGACATAAGTTTAGGGAATTGTTAGAACTGAATCCTTATATAGGGAGATAGGTAATGGGCGTTAGAATTGCAATTATGGAAAATTTTCCGTTGTTTGTTTTTCCCCACTCCTGATACTCCTGATACTGTTACGTTATTATGACTCATAAAAGTTGTGCGAGCGTTACACGCGTGCGTACATACCGATATCAAATATATATGTATCTACGGACGTAAAGAAAAAGCATTGTTACACGATGATTATAATTTTTAACCAATAATTTATTTTCAATTAAAAAAGATAAAACGAAAACGAATTGGCAAAGCAGTAAATCCACGCATGGTGACAGATGATAGGTAATGCTTAATGTTTAACAAATGTAAAAAAAGAACTTGTGAATATCTCAATGTAAAAAAAAGGAAAAAAATATTTACAATAAGATATGTATAACAAAGCGCTATAAGAAAAGGATCGTCTATAATGAATTTTTTAATGAATGATGTCTATTTTTAATGATATATTTTAAAGATGTTTTTTTAGTAAAAATCGTCTCATTTTTTTGATGTGTTACATATTAGCAACAGCTGGCAAATATTTAGTACTCTTTACTACCCATAGAACATTTTCCCTTAATCTTTCAAATGCGTTTTCAAAATGAGCTCGTTGTACCAAATCTCGTTGCTCTTCGAGAGTAAGCGCGGGATGTTCTTCAATGTCACGTTCTAAAACTTCGGTATCACATGGCGTGGCATCAACAAGTTCTTGGAGAGAAACTTCAAATCGTTCACGAAGAGCATAAAGTTGAGTAGGAAAGAGACGGCGTTTGTATGGACGTATGAGTTCTGAGAGAACATGTTCCCGATAATTTACAAAATCTTCACCGTTCTTAGATTTGTAGGCGGCAAGGTAAGCGTCACGAGACAAGATGTTATCGACAACAGTGTTAGAAGCCATTGTTTTTTATTTTTTGGTATGAATAACTTGTTTGATCTCGCAAGTGGTGAAAAGAATTTATATCGATATTGTTTTTGATGAGTGGGATGGTGGGAACCAACCCCTCTATTTTATATGATGCAGGATAATATTGCGCGGTATGCATCGTAATAATGACGGTTAACCTGTCAACTTGAGAATGATACGTACTTGTTAGCCAAAATAAATGTACAACATTTAATTAAAAACCTTAGTGTTATCAAATCCAAATTTGGAATAGACAAAAATAAAATTTTCTCATGCTTGTTTGAGTAAACTTCTTCCTTTTAAAGATGCTGTGAAACATATCCCTTTCTTTTACTGGGTGTACGGTTCGATTTCATTGCCACCACTCATAATTAATTATGATAAGTCTTTATTCTTTTTTTTAACTAACGTACGTAACTAAAGACTTAGTGGTGTGTAATAGACCGGAGTGTAATAGAAATGATTTGTGTTTGTTCCTTACTATTTTTAATTCAGATTTACTTGATCACTATTGCTAACCTTTTCTTCTATTTTTATACTTGGATAACTATCATAATAAATTTTTTAGTTCCGAACACCCAACAGTGCCTATTTGCCTAGTTTAGCTAAACTAATTTAAAATATTCAGTTTTCCCCCATGTTGGGGTCCAGACCAACAAAATTAACTGTCCTAATTTGGTATAATTATTTTTGTGATTCAATAAAATTGCTCGTTAATTCTTACCGTTACATAAAGGTCCGGGTCACTTAAACGCGTCTGACAATTAGTGGGAAGATTCCTCGCGTTCATCAATAAAATTTACTTTTTATTAAAGTTTAAGTAGATCACTTTACCATATTAATATTATCCATAGCATGCATAATAATCATGACAGCTAAACTTTTTTAGTATGATTTTCTTCATCGGCTTTATCAAATTGCCCGAAACTTTTTTTCGTTATACAAATTTTTATGGCTTTGAATTTTTTGTTCTTGCCTATTTTATCAGAATCCAGATAACGAACAATAAAGAATTCCAGTGATTCAAATCTTGACAGGTTATATCCTATATTCAATTGGATGATTAAATACTGTAATTGGACAATTGGACATAGTCCGATTGAAATTAAATGGGATCAAGTTCCAATTAAAAATATGTCTACTAATCTAATTGATAACACTGAATTGCTAACCCTAAAACAATCAATATTTAGATTTGGAATCGTGAATTTCAGGAGTTTAAAAATTTTTTTTCTTATCGTTATCGTTCGACAATCTCTTATTTACCACACGAAAGATTTTTACCATATAGTTGTTTGTGCATATGTTGTTTAAAGATGTCTTATGTACCGAGCTTTTTTAAATTATCTCGATAAGAAAAAATATGTACGTACATACAGCATAATGGTTGTATATACAACTTGTTACATTAAGATATAAACTTATAGAGATTATAGTTAATTTCACTGCGGACAGCGAAATTTCAAAGTGTATTATTTTTTATATGATCCCAATTATAATAGAATTCTATATAGAATATAAAAATAGTATAAAAATTTTATTAGAATTATTTTTTAAATATATAGTTTTAAAAAAATATACAGTATATATTTATATATAAGTGTTGCAAAGCAAAAACCTGTAACTGATTATAGTAAATCATAATGATCAATTACAGGTTTTTGCTTTGCAGTACTCATATATTGTAAATAAAATTTGTATAAATTAATTTAATTTATAAATTTAATTAATTTAATTATTGTTATTTTTTTCAATATTAAGGTGATTTCTTGGTTATTTGTTTTTATTTAATTAATTGTAATATTACAAAAAATATTGGTACAATATTTAATATATATTTAAAAAATTTAAACTAGCTATTTATTTAAGTAGTTTGTTTATAAGTTTTATTCTAGTTTTATTTTACAGGTTTTATACTAGTTGCTATATTTATAATCCAACTAGAAGATTATTTATTTAAATTTTTTGCATTATAATTTAATAAAATTAACTAAGCAAAATATAATGTTTTTTATTTTTATACAGTATTTGATTTAGAAAAAGACTAAAAAGTATATTCTGCACTTTGTATACCTCTTAGATTAACCAATAAAATTGCAAGATCAAGTATAATATGTAGATCAATTTTGTATAACAAAAACAATTATGCATATCAATTTTGTATAACAAAAATAAAGAATTTTTTAAAAAACCATCATATCTCAAAATTTTGATTATAAAATCACTTTTGAGGCTTTAATAAAAAAAATTTTTTGTTTAATTTTAATTTTTGAATAAATGTGTATATATTGCACTATGCGATGCATTTGTATATCACACTTCAATATAAATGCAAATCTGCGAAATATAATATTATATCAAATCAATTTTTATATATAGGTTAAGGTTGATAATTAGAGGTTAAGGTAAAGCATAGTATATAGTAAAATTTTGCAAGGAATTTCTTTTATTAGAATATTAAAAGTTGGTTCATAAGCAAAAATTTAAGATATTATTAACTTCTTAAAAAATCAAAAAATTTAACGTTATATCTGATCTTCATATTACACTACAGATATACAATTTAATTGGTAAAGTATTAGGGTGCAATATATAAACGCATTGCATAGTACGATGCCTAATTAAGTCCTTAATATTTAAATATTGTTTTTACTCTTTTTCTTATAAAAAAAATTTAATTAAATTTTAATAAAGTCAGAGACATGGTTTCACTTATATATATCAATGAAATTATTTTGGAATCTAAAACCTGAAATTAAAATTTGAAAACGAAATTGTTTTTGATCTATTTTACTTAAAAGATGAAATTTTTTGACAC